AAATCATTCACTGAAAGGCAAAATTAAATAAAGAAGAAACCTGAAATGGTTGGGAGTTTTAGTCCCTTTCACTCTTCAAGAATATATATATATATGTATACATATATATATATATATATATATATATATATATATATATATATATATGTATGTGATTTTATATATAATATATATATATATGTTTATCTGAAATATGTATATATTTATGTTTGCTCTCTTTTAACTTTCTCCCTTTAGGCACTAAATTGGTAGCCAGCGTTACCAACTAAGTGTGCTTCATTATAGCGTTCTCCATTCCAGTATAGTTATATCCAAAATAGAGATAAATACACATTTCCTGTTGCTGTCTTTTAGAAGGAATCATAAATTTTAAACTGTCTTCTCAGCTTTTTGCTCTTCTCACCTGACAGTGCATTAGGGAGCCTTCTTTATCAGTGAGTGAAATTCTAATATTCTTTTTTTGTGATTATGTATATAATATTTCATGATGTGTATAAACCTCAACTATTTCCCCACTAAAGAAAGGGCATTTCCATTGTTTCTGATTGTTTTAACACTATTTTGTATAAAAATCTTTAAAACATGAGACTTAATTTCTATGTCATAGATCCCCAGAAGTGAAGATGTTAAGTCAAAGATGTATCTTCTGGCTGGGCATGGTGACTCACACCTGTAATCCCAACACTTTGGGAGGCCCAGGTGGCAGATCACCTGAAGTCAGGAGTCTGAGACCAGCCTGACTAACATGGTGAAACCCTGTCTCTACTAAAAATACAAAAATAAGCTGGGCACAGTGGCGGCCATCTGTAATCCCAGCTACTCAGAAGCTGAGGCAGGAGAATCACTTGAACCCGGGGGACGGGGGTTGCAGTGAGCAGAGATTGTGCCATTGCACTCCAGCCTGGGTGACAGAGCGAGATTCTGTCTCAAAAAAAAAAAAAAAGTATGTTCTGTAAACTGTAATAGACAGTGAATGCCTTTTCAGTCTTCAATAAAAGTAGATGATACGTTTCTATTTAATGTTGGCTAATCAAACAATTGGGCACAGTAATAATTATTACACTTGAGTATCCTTTCTAACTTTACTACAAACTGGAATTTTCTATTTTGTCGATTCTTATATTACTGTCATTTTCCTGTAGAATACTGGCTTTTTGTTACTCTTCATTTTAATTGGTAAGGGTAAAATGAAGATTGCCCTTCATTTTAATATGAAATATTTTAAGAAAAATATTTTACTTCTGTATATATTCCAGCATATAAAATTGATACATTCCATGAAAGTATTCCCTAAGTGATAAAATAGTCAATTTTAAAATCTGAAAATCCTGCATTATTCTTGGAAACAGAATTTCATCAGTGAACAACTGGAAAACCGTATCAATGGCACATTATTAGCAATGTGAATGACCTTATGGAAATTGTGATTTAAGACATTGTGGAAATTAATTTGGATTGTCTAAAAATGAGACCTAGAGTTGGAATAAGGAATAAGAGTTTCTGAATGGTTTTTCCTCCTGTATTCATAATCACAACAAGGATTAAACGTTTTTTCCCCGAATTGCAAGTCTGGAAACATTTTTCATGATATTTTTTAAAAAGGAAACCTAGCTTCTTTTTTTAAAAAAAAAGAAAAAAAGGAAACTTAGCTTTTTCCAACAAGCTGAAGCTTGTTGCTTCACTGAGTTCTTGGAGATAAAGAATGTGCGCTGGTACATTGAAGGGGAAAATCAAATCACTTGCAGCTTACATTACTGGCAAGCGTCAGTGAAGAGGCCACAGGCGGTTGGGATCATTTTACCCTTTAAACATTGTCCATGTACTGGTGGAGCCACTGACTTGTATAAAGATAGTTACTGAGAACATTTCATAGCAGAGATGTGGGAAGACCATGCAAGTCAGTCATTTTTTATTCCAGGCGTAAGTTGTGCTTCAGCACTCCTTCTGAAAGCTAGATTCTTTGAAGAGATTAAAGTTCAATGGTACGAGGCCGTATAAAGACATCTGAATAATTCCATGATATAGAGACATTTCTGAAGAAATACTCTTTTTTAAAAGTAGCAGTTATTTATCATGATTTTCTAATTTGTGACCCTGGATTCATGATTGGTTAGGGTAGTAAATATTTATGGGAAGAGTTACCCCTGGAATCCACCTGGGGAAAAGAGAAAGTCACTTCACCTGTGAAGGCAGCATTATTTTTCCAGCGTTTTGCCACTATTTCAGTGTTCTTCCAACTGTTTATGCTTTGGACAATAAATAAATAAGGTGCAGAAACACCTTATTTAATGATTTGATGTTGTAACAGTATGTAGAGCATAGTAGGTTCTCAATAAACATTTATTGAAAGAATAAACAAATTGTCACATTGTTTTATTAAATGTGTCAAAAAGGGCAAACCAAGTTCATTTCTTTGGTATTAGACATTAAATGCCAAATTGTGTATAGAAGAGGGGGCTGGGAGATGAAAGCTGTGGCCATGCCTTATAAGCTCACTGGAACCATCTGAAAATGACTCCTGCATTTCAGCCCACCCTGTTCTTTTAGATCTGCTTAGTTCATAACCCCTGTCTTACTTCATACAGCTGGAAATACATGATCCGTTAGTCTCTGGATGTTTTTCTTAACTACTGAATTTTAGATATTCATCAGCTATATTTAGAGCATCATTTTCATTTATTTGTATTTTCCTCCTATTATATGCCAATTTTTACAGTTGAGTATTCCAGATTTCACATTCTTATAAAATTGCATAATTCTCCTAATTTTAAAACATTGACTCAATTAATATTTTTGATTACAATGTATGTCTTAGTTACTGAGGACATAGAAATATTTTCTTAGATAAAAGGAGTTTTATTTACATGGTTAATCTCAAACTGCCACTTTGTGTATTGTGTATTTGTAATTTTTACATTAAAATATTTATAAAATATTTTCATAGGATTTATTAAAAGTATCATAGATCTCAGCATATCTTAGTAAGACTCTTGTAAAAACAATGACACAATTTGTTATTTTTTAAAAAGTAAATCAACAGCAGAATAATACTAAATAAAAATAATGAAATGTTATAAATTTTGTGATGCTAATATTTTGAAAATCAATCATATTTAATAACGCAATATTCAAAACCTGCCATGGAATGCAATTTCAGTGAAGTAACTTGGTTATTTTAGGTTTAGTTTTTTATCTTAGCTATTTTTGGAAAGCTACAGAAGTCCTTGTAAAAAATCGTTATCTATAGCTTGTAACTCCTACACATTAAATTTCCCACAGGAATCTTATAATCTAGTTATAAACCTTAATCTTCCCCATTCATCTAGTCCTTGAAGTCTCAAAACCAGTCAATTTCAAGCAATTTATAGCCAGGTTTTATTGCACAACTTTTAGCTCAGGATGTTTCCCAGAGGCATGTGAAACTGACTAAGAAAAGTCTCCATGAGCCAAGGTGAAGGTTGTTTGAATTCATCTACTTAACTTCTTATTTCCTAAGTAAGATTTCCATAAAGCCCAAATCATAAAGTAAGCTTTGTGATTGAAATAACCAAAATTACATGAAATCAGTTATGCTTGGAGCCCTGCTCACTTGCAGAAAGGCAAGACGAGAGTTCTGTGCCATATACATGATAAAATTTGTACCCTATTCATTGATACTAACATATTTTATGAAGATTTAAAATTTGAGGGTATAAAATGATTTCTAAGATGACATAAAAGCAAATTATTTGTGTTTAATAAATTTTCTCCCTAGGACTTTTGAAAAACACATAGCATGAACTAATTTCAGACCGAACACTTTATGATAAAAAAATGAAATAGCCTTGGCAAAGAAGAAAAATTGTTTTCTTATGAAATGACATGTTTGCTTATATGGTCATTTCATAAGAAAATCATTCAATCACGTGTAATGATTTTAATCTGAAAGCTTCAGGTGCCTGCTTTTGTGTCTTTCTATCTCTCTACCTGATTTTGTTTACACATTTTAGAATTATTTGCTCAAGAAAATGTTAAAAAGAAGTGACAAACTCTAAAATATAAACACTTCAAGAGATTTGCTAAAATAGACTGAAGATGCATTACGTTAGGAAATATTTCCACAGAAAACTAGTGATAAGTGGACAAGTAAAGGTAAACAGCTGAAACATTTTTGTTGGTCGTACTATTTGGCATGATGGGGTTAAACAAAAGTCTCAGTGTTTCTAGAAAATACTTTGGACATTATATTCTATTGTTAAACTATGTCTTTATTTTAAGATAGTATAAGATATGGAGAGATCAGATTTTATGTTGCAAGTGTATCTAAAACTAGACAATCTTAGTCACACATACTTTTTAATACACATTAGATGTAAGATATTGTACTAAATTTCAAAATAATTTGGTGTGGCTAAGGATGGGCTTTAAGTGTATTCACAACATAAAATATAATTGCTGAAACTCAAATAAGACAATATTTCTTACCTAGGCACTAAAAATAAGTCTTAGAAAAACTCAAAGCAATTTTAGATTCAAATCCAAGGATGATATTAAAGACAAAAAGAACACATAGGTAATAGGAGTAGTGTTCCTTGCCATATAATAGGGAGCTGTTTTAATTGCTAGGAAATTTGGAAAGTCCTTTTGTGGGAAGAGAACCTGACCTGCGTCTTCCATCATTCTTGATCTTCCTAACATGAATGAAAGGCAAAATACGTTAAGAAAAGTAATTCAGCCTTTGTCCTGAGGCTTTCCGCACAAAACAGCACATATGTAGGAGGTCAGTCATTAGCTTTGACCATGTCTACGAGGCCACAAGGGATGCAGCACCCACGGTCAAGCTATGCAGCACCTCAAATGCGACCGGACCAAATTCCTCATCTTAGTACCTACCCATTCAAAGGATTTTTATCAGCAGAGTAGATTTTTATTAAGAAACAGAAAGCAAGCTCTCAGTAAGGAGAGGAGACCTGAAAGTGGGTTGCCACCAACAAGGTTGCCCCCTAGGGTTTCTTTTTTTTTTTTTGCTTTAAATCCTGGGATACATGTGCAGAATGTGCAGGTTTGTTACATAGGTGTACATGTGTCATGGTGGTTTCTTGCACCTGTCAACCCGTCACTCTTGCCACACCCCTGCCAATGTGCCCCTGGTGTAGGCTGTTCTCCTCCTGTCCGTGTATTCTCATTGTTCAACTCCCACTTGTGAGTGAGAAGATGCAGTATTTGGTTTTCTGTTCCCTGTGTTAGTTTGCTGAGCTTCTTCCATTTCCTGAAAAGGAGATGATCTCATTCCTTTTTGTGGCTGCATAGTATTCCACAGTATATATGTACCACATTTTCTTTATCCAGCCTATTACTGATGGGCATTTGGGTTGGTTCCAAGTCTTTGCTATTGTGAATAGTACTGCAGTGTGTGCATGTATCTTTATAATAGAATGATTTCTATTCCTTTGGGTATATACCTAGCAATGGGATTGCTGGGTCAAATGGTATATCTGGTTCTAGATCCTTGAGGAATCGCCACACCACACTGTCTTTCATAATGGTTCAACTAATTTACAGTCTCACTAATAATGTAAAAGCATTCCTATTTTTCCACAGCCTCACCAGCATCTGTTGTTTCTTCACTTTTTAATAATTGCTATTCTGACTGGCGTGAGATAGTATCTTATTGTGGCTTTGATTTGCATTTCTCTAGTGATCAATGATGTTGAGCTTTTTTTTTTCTCATAGTTTGTTGGCCACATAAATGTCTTCTTTTGAGAAGTGTCCGTTCATGTATTTTGCCCACTTCTCGATGAGGCTGTTTACCTTTTTCTTGTAAATTTGTTAAAGTTCCTTGCAGATTCTGGATATTAGACCTTTGTCAGATGGTAGATGGCAAAAATTTTCTCCCATTCTGTAGTTTGCCTGTTCACTCTGGTGATAGTTTCTTTTGCTGCGCAGAAGCCCTTTGGTTTAATTAGATCCCGTTTGTCAATTTTAGCTTTTGTTGGAATTGCTTTGCATGATTTCATCATAAAATATTTGCCCATTCTTGTGTCCTGAATAGTATTGCCTAGGCTTTCTTCTAGGGTTTTTATGGTTTTGGGTTTTACATTTAAATCTTTAATCAACCCTGAGTTAATTTTTGTATAAGGTAGAGGAAGGGGTCCAGTTTCAGTTTTCCGCATATGGCTAGCCAGTTTTCCCAGTACCATTTATTAAATAGAGACTCCTTTCCCCATTGCTTGTTTTTGTCAGGTTTGTCAAAGATCAGATGGTTGTAGATGTGTGGTCATATTTCTGAGGCCTCTGTTCTGTTCTCTTGGTCTATATGTGTGTTTTGGTCCCAGTACCATGCTATTTTTGTTACTGTAGCCTTGTAGTATAGTTTGAAGTCAAGTAGCATGATGCCTCCAGCTTTATTATTTTTGCTTAGGATTGTCTTGGCTATGCAGGCTCTTTTTTGGTTCCATATGAATTTTAAAGTAGTTTTTTTTTTAATTCTGTGAGAATGTCAGTGGTAGCTTGATGGAAATGGCATTGAATCTATAAGTTACTTTGGGCAGTATGGGCATTTTCATGATATTGATTCGGGAAGGATATGTCCTACCATGCATTGAACTGTATTCTAAGGCTACAAAGAAGACTCTGGTTCCAGTCGTCCCTCCTTATGTGTGGTTTTGCTTTCAGTGGTTTTAGTTACTCATGGTCAACCACAGTTCAGAAATGTTAAATGGAAAATTTCAGAAATAAACAATTTGTAAGTTTTGGATTATGTGCTGTTCCATTCTTAGAGCATAATGAAATCTCACACGGCTTTGTCATGCCTCAGAGGTAAATCATCCCTTTGTCCCTCGGATCCACACTGTAGATACTCCTGCTCATTAGCCAGTTTGTCGCCTTCTCAGTTACCAGATCAACTGTTGAGGTTATTGCAGAGCTTGCTTTCAAGTCACCCTTATTTTACTTAATAAGGACCCCAAAGCACAAGAGTAGTGATGCTGGCATATTGTTATAATTGCTTTACTATTGTTTTTGTTAATCTCTTACTGTACCTAATTCATAAATTAAACTTTATCATTGGTATGTATCTATAGGAAAAAACATAGTTTATATAGGGGTCAGTACTCTCTGCTGCTTCAGCCATCTGGTGGGGTTTCGGAATGCATCCTCTGCAAATAAGACAGACTATTGTATCTACACACAACAGAGTCTAGGAGGAACACACACATGTAGCTAACTAATTAATGGTCATAGTTACTATTACCAAGACTAGTGATAGTATTATCATATATGAGCTAGATTTGGCTGAAAGTGATTTATAAATATCTAACTTAATTTGGCTAGGCGGTTGAGTAGATAACATCATATTGCCGTTTAGCAGTATGCACATGTGGTCGTATTACTTAAACCCTCTCTGCTTGAGGTTCCTCATTTGTAAATTGGGATCAACAATTGTTCCTACATTATGTGGTTATTGTAAGCATTACAAAAGTTAGTATATTTAATGTAATTAGAAAAATGCCGAATACAGTTTAATAGTATAAGTGTCCACCAAATTAAAACACACTAAAACAAACGAAAACCCAGCATAGAATTTCCTAAGCACTCTTGTAAGCCCGATGACCATATGTATAAATACCTGAGACTGGGAAGATGTTTCATATTTTCACATAGAATCATACAAATCACGCTTTTTTCCCTAACTATAAATACTTTCAGTATTAATCCCAATAATACAGCTGATACTGTGTTTCAAAGGATTAGAATTTGACTTTTCCTAGCTCTTTTCATTTATTGGGTCCCTACGTCCATACTACTCTCATTATACCCATTATATTGTTTATATATTAATAGGTCTTATTTTCATATTATGAATGGGAATCTGAAGCCCAAAGAAGTTATACTGCTGGCTCAATATCGCAAAGAACAGAGATGGTCTGCACCATTGATGCTGAGAGGATCATTCAAAGAAGCTCTCTTAATAAAAACCTGCATTTACTCTGAAGGTGTTTTCCTTGGTGTGGAGAAATAATATTTCTTGTTCAGGAACTTACCTGAAGATAACCACAACCAAAAGCCACCAACGTTTGGTACAATCTAACATTAGTTGAAAAGGCACATCTCATTAAAAACTAACAATCTAATGGAATAAAAGGTGTAAGAAAGTAAGTAAATAAATAAAAACGCAAAATAAATATAACTAAAAATTCTTACTGAAATACCAGAAAAAGTTGAATCTACTTTTTAAAAATACATCCATATTGCTATAAAAAAATAAGAAATCAAGATTTTTGGATAATATAATTATTTATATAATTAAAACAACAAAAATTTATAGGGCAAGAGAGTAGATTGAATACACTTGAAAATCAAATTGATAAGCTATAAAATTGACCTGAAGTATTCTTCCAGAATGCAATAATAATGAAAATGATACAAAAATTATGAAGGAAAGATTCAAGGACAGAGAAGGTCATCTACCAAAAATCCATAGATTATCACACATAATAGTGCAATATTTTAAACTTTTCTGTTAACGTTAGGAATAGGCAGTTATGCTTTATCATTTGACTACATGTTTAAGATAATGCAACAAGTTTAAAAAAAGAGAAGATGCAAAACCAGTTTATGTTAAAACTGCGTGGGAATTTTAAGATGTTTACCTGAAAATCTTGTAAAACCTTAGGAAAGTGGACAAATATTAGATCAACATGTACACATTAATAATTTCCTTTAGTAAAGCAAAGCTAATTAGGTAACATGATGAAATAAAATCCCATTCACTATAATAATCAAGGTTCTTAAAAAAGGACCAAGTCTAAGATAAATTCTGCCAGATAATATTGAAGAGAACTATGAACATTATAATAACTATGAAATTATTTTTAAAAAACTAACAAAATATATGCCCAAATGTTCAGATAACTGGAGAAAAATCATTTTCTGATGGAGAAGAAACTGTAAAATTTCTACAGGTTAATATATAAATTCATTGCAAAATGCAATTGAAGTCTCAACAGGATTTCACATGGAACCTGACAAGCTGATTCTAACATTTATTCAGAAAATTCCCAACAAGAACCGATAATTTTTATTTATTTATTTATTTTTGAGACAGAGTCTCACTCTATCGCCAGGCTGGAGTGCAGTGGGCATCTCGGCCCACTGCAGCCTCTGCCTCCTGGGGTTCAAGTGATTCTCCTGCCTCAGCCTCCAGAGTAGCTGGGATTACAGGTGCCTGCCACCATGCCTGGCTAATTTTTGTATTTTTAGTAGAGACAGGATTTCACCATGTTAGCCAGGCTGGTTACGAACTCCTGACCTCAAGCAATCCGCCCGCCTTGGCCTCCCAAATTGCTCGTATTATAGGCATGAGCCACCGCTCCAGACCAAGAACCAATAATTTTTATTGTAGTCCAGTGAGTGAGTTAACACTAATAACACTATAAGTTATTAGATCATACTCCAATAATTGAAGCAGTCGGCTAGGTGCAGGCACATACAGATATATCAAAACAATAGAATTTAAAATTCTAATGTATACTGTATCTGACACAGATACAGTATACATTAAAATTTGATATGTAAAGGTGTGTGAGTTTCGTGAAGCTCCTGGAATTCCTGTGCAGTAGGAGTTCAGAAGCCAAACAGATGGTCTACTTATCAGATGAGCTAAGAAATAGAATCCAAGAAAATGGCTTCTAGAATATTCTTTTAAATCCTTTTTCAAATTTTTGATGTTGATCAAATTAATCTATGTAAAAGCCTTTTACAATCTATTGAATAAAATATGGATTCAGTATTTTTTAGACTGGAAAAAATCCTTTTTTTTTTTTTTTTTTTTTTTTTTTTTTACGACGTCTCACTCTGATACCAACCAGACTGAGTGCAGTGGTGTGATCTCGGCTTACCGCAACTTCTGCCTCTTGAGTTTAAGCAATTCTGCTGCCTTAGCCTCCCGAGTAGCTGGGACCACAGGCGCATACCACCACGCCCAGCTAATTTTTGTATTTTTAGTAGAGACAGGGTTTCACCATATTGGCCAGGATGGTCTTGATTTCTTGACCTCATGACCCACCTGCCTCGGCCTCCCAACGTGCTGGGATTACAGGCGTGAGCCATTGCACTTGGCCGAAAAAAAATTCTTTTTTATATAAACAGGAAAACTGGGGATTACATATAAAATTGTAATTGTTGGTAGAGTAAGTCACTGGCATTTAGAACGTAATAGTCATTAAGTCTTTGCAAGTTCCCACATTTGTGTATAAATAAATGTTTTAAAATAAAATACCAGTTATTAATTATGCTGATTAGGAAGAAGAAAGGGAAGAGAGTCAAAGGCTATGTTTTATACATTTAAAGATGGAGACTTATTTGGAATAATTAAGGTAAGAAACTGGATATACGACTGTGGAGCTCATAGATCAGATGCAGTTTGCACCTTTTGGGATTCATAAATTTAAAAGTCATATTAGAAGCTATGAAGTTGGAAGAGATCATCTAGGAAATGAGTATCAGTGGAGGAGGGAAGATGTTGGAGGACAGAAATAAAACATTTAGAAGTTAGGGGAGAATGATGAACCAGCAAATTAGATGAAAACTCTCAGTAGCCAGTAAGGTGAGAGGAAAACCACAAGGCTGTGGATTCCAGAAAGGCAAGTTTGAAAAATGATTTAATTGGAGAGGCCAGCTGACTGCATCGGATGCTGCTGATATGAAAGAGTAATTTGCCGGCTGAAAATTGATCACTGATTTTAGCCGCACGAAGGTTACTGGTGCCCCTGACGAAGCTTTCAGTGGAGCGGAAAGCACAGGCAGCTGATTGCTGTGTTTTCAAAGAGAACAGGAGGAAAGAAGTTGGAGACAGAGAGTATGGATTTAAGGGGGAATCGAAAAATGGAAAGTGGAAAATAGACAAATGGAGATGTGGCAAAAAAAGGCACAGTGTTTGTTTTCATAGTAGAAGTTTTCAGGTATTGTATGCTGATTAGAATAACCCAGGAGAGACAGAAAATATTAAATTTCAGGGGAAGGAGCAATTGCTGGAGCAAATACTTTGAGCTGTTGAGATTTGATGGTCTAATAGATAGCTGAGAAGTCTGACTCAATATGAGGGAGTCACAGCGAACACTCCAGGTTTCAAACTCTAGCAGGCAGATGTTTTCTTCTGGCCAGTAAATGAACTGACTCATGTAAAGAAGGAATAACAAGCTTTTGGTGAATTATAAATTGTTTCTCTAACTTTATTTGGTTTAAATTAAACTCTTAGCAGGTACGCAGACTGCTCTGTTGTCTCAATGGTCTGTGAAGTTTATCAGTAGGCCTTAGAAAAACAGTGCATCACATTTTATTTATCGAAGTTTACCTCAACAAGTGTCTCAGTTGCCAGGCAATAACGCTGAGAATTTAATTAGGTGACTCAATTACCTTTTAAGATGACTCACCTAATATAGGAATACTGCAATGTTCCAATTTCTTGGCAAACAGTCTCTGATACTGCAATTTGATCAACTCTATGAGATTGATAAATATTACCAATTAAAGTACTCAAAAGTGTAACATCACAATTAATACTTATTCATTTCATACAGGATTTCCCAGCCAGAAATCATTTATATTTGATTCATTAAATCCATAAAAATAAAAGAATTGTGCTTTTAGAGATAATCCTTTGTAAGATAAATACAATTTCAAACTTCATATGAGTATAATTTTTGGTTCTTAAAACATATATCAAAATAAAAATGAAGAATTGTTAGAGTGACATCATATAAAAAGACAAGTATTTAGATGGAAGAACACCATTTATCAATTAATAGTATTTGCATTCTCCCTCCAAATTGTTCAGTGCTACGTTTGTTATTTTGAAACAAGAAAAAAAGGCTTTCTAATGTTGGGGTTTTGAGGTTTAGGGGAGCACTCAGTTTGCTCCCCCGGTGGGCTCCAGGATCTTGGTGGGCTCCAGCTCTCTCAAGAATGAGAGAGGGGACCACAGTAGGTGTGCTTGTAAATACTGGAGTATTTGCAGATAGTGTTTGCAGAAAGTGGTTTATTTAGGTAGAGAAAAAGAAAAAGGAGAAGAAGAGAGAAAGCTTCCATGAGAGAGTGTGTGGAAGGGGACCCCAGAGGGGAAATCCAACCAGATTCGGGGACAAGGACTTTTAACCTGGGAGGAATTCCCACCTTCTCCAAGTTCCCTGGCCAATGAAAAGAGTTCCTTTAAATTTCCATTGGAGTAATTGACTTGTGACCATTTCCTGCGCCCACGAAAATTAAAACATAAACCGTTAAATCTCCCAGATGTAGAGAGAAGGGAGTGGGGCATGGCGCTGGGAAGTTCTTGCCCTTGAAACTATGCCCCCTTGTGGACCCGGAAAGAGAACACCTTCCCTCACTCCCTTTTCCGGTTACTGTTGCTGTAGATCAAGTTACCTGCAAGACTTGGTAGCTTAAAACAATACACATGTTTATAATATCACATGGATTGTGTACTGCAGGGCCTGGGGCGAGTCTTCTGCTTATAGCCTCAACTGAGCCATTCAGCTGTACTTAGCTGGTGGGTGGGATGAACTAGAGGGCCCACAATGGCTCCATTCACACGTTGGACACCTTGGTAGGTATGGCTAGGGTGTTTGGCTTCACGAGGGGGTGGGTTCTCTGCCAGACCACCCACAACTTGTCAATCCCAGGGCAGTTGGACTTATTCCATGATCACTGACTCCCCTCAGAGTAAGCATTCCAAGGGAACTAGGAGGAAGTTACGTGGCCCTTTAAACACCCTCAGGAGACTTTTTGTGACTTCTTTGGTTCAAGCAAGCACCAGCCTACTCAGATTCAAGGAAAGGGAGATGGACTCTCTCAATGGAGAGAGTTTCAAAGAGTTTGTGGCTTTCTGTTGTTGTTTAAACCACCGCATACCATCCTCAAAGATTATTAGGTAAATTAATTAAATACTCAAAGCTAGCTACAATTTCAAGCAATTTTTATAAAAAGATGAGATGCAAATAAATGCAATTAGTAGAAAAAAATCTAAAGTTAGCTTCAACCTGCTGGAATAAAACTGAGAATAATTTTGTCAAACAAATGATATTTCTGTCTTCGACATGAATACTTGGCTAATTCCCAGGACCTACAAAATATATTTGATAGTGTGTCTAATGATTACTCTGTGGAAAAGACATGAGATCAATTCTGATAAAATTAGGTAGGTTAGTAAAAAGTTTCACAAGACTTGCTGTCAATTCAGAAGGAGCTCTAACTGCATAAAATTTGGAGTGAACTCTAAAGATGTTGAATGGTAGAATCCAAATTCAAGATATATTTGATAAAATAGAGTGTAATTTTCTCTGAAAACACCTGTCCAGCTGGACACACTGTGAATACAGATTTCCATGTTCAGTACATATAGAAATATCACTCTCAGCTTCTGAAGAGTAACAGGTAAAAAATCTTTTAATTTTGAAGTAAAAAAAAGTTTTTCACTTTATATTTTTCTGACAAGGAGGCTACCTTTTTGTTCCTCTTTTGTAAAATTATTCTCTTTCTAGGAAACAAGCATGAAAGATAGGTTTTGTAAACTTTAAACTAGAAAATTGAATGGAACTTAAAAAGATGGAATATGATATAGTTTGTATATTTGCCAGTATCCAAATCTCATGTTGAATTGTAATCTTCAGTGCTGGAGATGGGGCCTGGCAGGAAGTGTTTGGGTCATGAGTGTGGATTCCTCATGGCTTGGTGCTGTCTTTGTGATACTGCATGAGTTCTCATGAGATCTGCTGTTTAAGTGTGTGTAGCACTTACCCCACTAGTCACTTGCTCCTTGCTTCTGCTTTTGCCATGTAATGTGCCTGCTCCCCTCTTCACTGTCTGCCATTATTGTAAGGCATGATTCCTGAGACCTCCCTAGAAGCCAGGCAGATGCCAGCACCATGCTTCCTGTAAAGCCTGCAGAACTGCAAGCAAATTAAACATCCTATTTGAAAAAATAAATTACCCAGTCTCAGATATTTCTTTATAGCAATGCAAGAATGACCTTATCCAGAATATCATAATCGTAACAACAAACTTGGGAAATGCATATAGCTTAGCAGATGTGAAAAGATAAACAACTGAATTGGTAGTAAATTCAGCATGGATACCAGGTAGTGAAATAGCTGTCAAAACACCTGACATTTGTTGTAATTTATTATAAACATAAATCCATTAGAAAACAGTTGAGATCAGTGCTCTACAATACACTAATGGAAAATTCTTAGAGTACCTTTGTTCTGGTTTCTTCATTTTAAAAAGATATTGGCAAAAAGGCTTAAGTTTATAGAAGATCAAATGGCTGATGAGGATATTTAATCCATGCCACTTCAGAAACTTGGTAAATATGGAAAAAAGTGCCTCAGAAGGGCATTGATTTCCAGTGACGGGAAGTTTTTAGCTATCAATTGAATGGCAGGTATGTCATTGGCCCCAAACAATGGACCCAAGTATAACAGAGGCATTTATAAGACCACATAAAGATTCTGGCTTTACATTTACAGAACGTGTCCATACTGTTCCTCGCTTTATCACTTTTGACCTATTTTTTAATTCTATGCTTTCTTGATCTCAATATAACCAAGCATTACCTCTTGGCTTGCTTCATTTTGCTTAGGCCATATTCACGTTATTTTTCTCTTACTTTGACCCTTAGTACATCATGGCATGGTTTTCTGATTTGCCTTTAGGTCTTTTGCACCGCTGCTACCGTAGAAGGCACTCCCAGCCCCGTCTTTTCCTCCCATCCTGCTAGAAACAACAGCTCTCTGCACTTAGCATTTTAATCAGAACGGGGTTTATTGTGGTTCAAGGATATGATGGGGGTTTGAAAAGGTTGTTCTTGAACATCTTTTCCATTTTACATTAAAAGTATCTTCAACAGGTTGACTGTAACAGCCACTACTATCTTCTCTACCGCTTCCTCCTGTGAGATAGATCTGTCTTCCTAGTACATCAAAGGTGCTGCCAGTTGACAACAATCATGAAACCGTCTATATCTGACTAGGTGTTTTCCAACATGGAAAAGCGTGATCATTGGCAATAATCAGGGAAATAAGACAATTCTAAGTCATATTGCTACATTGACAGAATGATTGATCACTGTTGCTGGAAAGAGTTATGTTTCAATGATGCCCACCAACAGAGTTTCTGATGCCAAGCAGATGACTGGGTGTAGATTTGTTTATATAACTGCCCATTCGGATGAGAAGTATTGACTATCCATGGCATAGAATGATATGTAATATGTCCAGTTCCAGGTGATGAGCAAGGGAGAGAACAAAAGCACCTCCCAAGAAGAGGTAATTTCTATGATTTTGACAAAGATAAAGAAAACTTCAGAAGCCTACCATAGTTGTCACAGAATCACTTATGTTAATAATTTTCCAGTGTTATGAAGACAATTGCATAATTGCTGCATTTATTGTGACTGAAATCCTCAATGACCCAACTGTCACTTTTATTGCTCATAACTTGGATAAAACACTGAGGCCAAAATGTGTGTTGATTTTTTTAAAAAGTGCGTTGGCATTGATTTGTGACCTTAAACATGGCATCTTGATATGTTCACCCTTACTAGTGAGGACAAAATATTCAAAATCAAGTCTATAACCAGGTACACTCACTTGGGTGGATGATCCAATGGTTAACCATTTCATCACCAAGTTCAAATACAATCCCAAAAAGACAAAACTGAGAGAAAATGCTGCCTCTTGACTCTGTATAGCTCACAAACATGCATTCAGATCAATATTGAGACACATTTCTTCTATAAAGAAATCTATATAACTCATGCACATCTTGAAGTATCTGGAAGCTGAAATAAAGACAAGCACCCTGAACTCCATAAGGAAAGTTTTATACCTGAGAAGTCATAGAGTCAAGGCAGTATGTGTATTCCCAAGTTTCAGAAACCTTTGCATGATTGGTGCAATAGTAAGTAATTAAACAAGAGTATAAGCCCCAGTACATCTGTTTCTGAGGGAGCAGCAAGTGAGAAAATGTTAGGCTTTCTGTCACTTATGTTTCCCTTGGTATTAAGATGGATAATGAAGACATAATTGTTGTGATAAAACATAACAACCCATTTCCACCAAGGAGACACAGGCTTTCACGTTACATTCTGACAACTGTTTGAATTTATGAAGATGAGGAAGCAATGGCAAAGGGAAATCTTATTTGGAGAGTCTGATGTTTGAGGCATTTCTCATGAGCCACATAGCATTCTTCAGATTGAAATCACCTTTGATGCTAATGTCAGTGGTATCCTTCAGGTGTCTGTGGTGAATCAAAGCATAGGAAATGAAGCAAGAATTATAATCTCTGTTGACAATGGCTGTTTGAGCAGATAGTGGAGGAGGCAAAAGTATACAGCCACTGAAGAGACTGAGATGCCTTCCAAGACGTTGATTGAATGTTACACATTCAGTATGAACACCACAGGAGACAATAAAAAACCTCAAGGGAAGATCAATGATGTGAATAAGTGAAAGACAAGATTCAGACTTCAGGGGAGGATGAATTTGAACACCAGAAGAACGACCCAGTAAAGGTCCTCAACTCATTAATTACCCAGCAGTTTCAAATTCAGGGGATATGTCAGGCAAGATATCTAGCAGCTTGTCAGGGGACAGAACTCCTTCTAGAAACACTTTTCTGCATTCACCATGGATAATGGCCAATCTTCCAGTTAGCAAAAATACTTTTCAGAAAAAATTTTTTGCAAATTCATTCATGTCAGTTGAACCATGTGTAATTCATTCATCATGTTTTAAAGCTATTGGGCATTTTCAGTACTTTATACACATAGAAAATGTTAATCACATTGTGCTTTATCAGCGTTTATATAAACAAACATGAAGAAAATTTAACAGTGCTGCAGAAGTGGAAATTAGGGAAAGGAAGAGTGGATTTATCCCTGCCCTTTAAAAAAAAAGATATTTTGGCTGGGAGTGGTGGCTCACGCCCGTAATCCCAACACTTTGGGAGGCCATGGGTGTATCATGAGGTCAGGAGATGAGACCATCGTGGCCAACATGGTGAAACCCTTTCTCTACTAAAAATACAAAAATTAGCTAGGCATGGTGGTGCACGCCTGTAGTCCCAGTTACTCTGGAGGCTGAGGCAGGAGAATCAGTTGAACTGGGAGGCGGAGGTTGCAGTGAGCTGAGATCTCACCACTGCACTCCAGCCTGGGCAACAGAGCGAGACTTTGTCTCAAAAAATAAAAAATAACAAATAACAGATATTTCCAAAAGTGTCAGAAGAATAAATGTTCTCTAACAGCACTCCTGCTACATAGTTTAAGAACATAAATTACTGAGATTATGATCTGAGTTAAACCAAGCTATAAATCTGTCTAAAACTACTATGATAAGTGGGTTATTCGTTTAAGATATTAAGCAATACAGAAACATATAATTTATGTAATAATTACTGATGGACATCAGGTAATGTGCTATATGTGTATCACTTAATTTGGTCTTCATACCAGCCCTAAGAATTGCCAATACAGTGTTACTCCATTTTATTTTTTTTGAGATGGAGTCTCGCTCTGTCACCCAGGCTGGAGTGCTGTGGCACGATCTTGGCTCTCTACAACCTCTGCCTCACGGGTTCAAGCGATTCTCCTGCCTCAGCCTCCCAAGTAGCTGGGATTACAGGCATCGGCCACCATGCCTCGCTAATTTCTGTATTTTTAGTAGCGGTGGGTTTTCACCATGTTGGCCAAGCTGGTCGTGAACTCCTGACTTCAGTGTTGCTATCATTTTATAAATGAACACACTGAGGCCCAGAAAGGACAAGGTGCTTGATGAAAGTTACACATCTGAGAAGTGCTAGCTCTGGAATATAAAATCAGGCAGCTTGATTCTAGAGTTCAAGTCTTGTGTGTGTGTGTGTGTGTGTGTGTGTGTGTGTGTGTGTGTGTGTGTTTTGATGGAGGCAGGGGTTCCAGTGAAAACTGGAAAACTTGCTAGACATATTTTTCAAACCAGTTGTCTTCACTGTCTCTCTTTATATCATAATGTATGTGAACAGAGTTGTCTGTCTTCATCTGTTACTGAATATACCTATTGAACATTATATTTACATAACATTGTTTTCCATTGCTATTGAAATTACTTACAAATCTTTAGATGATTCATCTACAGTAATACTACTGACTACAAATCAATTGAACTGTCAAACTAATAGTTTTCCCCAAATTACTGAAAATAAAATGTCCTATTTTAAACTAATTTTTTAAAAAAACTGAATGGAGGGTTCAGGGGTTCAGGGCGCCCTCAGCTCCCCTAAGAGGACATTTCTCCAGGTTCCTGGTCTACTGCCCTCTCAAGAATGAGAGAGGGGACCACGGCATGGTGCGCAGTATGTGCCGGACTCAAAAGTGTT